TTATCAGTGATTATATTCCATACCAAAGGTATGGTGACAAATATAGTATGGTCAAAATTATTGCAAACTGCTGTATACGATGTAGTATATCCTAGTATATTCCTGACGTCAATGTGAGTCTTTCTTGCTATCATAGCTAGACAAATGATCTGTCTCTAGAATAGATAGTCTGATGCGATTCATTCTCGTTAGGATCGTCATTTCGCAAACACCTGGTGTTTCTTCAGTCGTAACTGCAGAGATTTTGTAGTTTGGATCGTGTCATGCATTGATGGCTCTATGCATCAGACAGTTGTCTGCAAAAAGACGCAAATGTGAAATCAATACTTTGTTTGGAAATTAAGTAAGGGTAAAAATAAGAGAAGTACCAGGCCTTTCTTTGTGGTACTCCTTGTTGATATGCCCTCGATTACTACTGCGCTCGCTCAATCAGGAGTACAGATTACGACTTTTTCTCTGTCGCCAGTGTCCACTTTCAGAAAATGACTTCGAACACCTTTTTTGTAAGTTCTTCGTGCGAAAAAAAATAATTTTCAAGTATAAGACAGCGATTGTCCCATCTCATYCCCTTTGAAGTGGGAAAAGCAAAGCATTATTTGTAACTGTTCTAAGAAGTCGTTCTCTTGTCAAAGCAATGGATGATATCAGGTGGTCATTTTAATTACTTAAAAGTCAAGTTAAAATAAGTAGTGACAATGAATAAGAACTTATAGAAAAAATGTATTTTTTTTTTTTGTTATTGTTAGGTTATGCACGATGCGTACAAAGAAWATGACAAAGAACGCCTTGTCGACCACGCCAACTCCACGCCACCTCCCCTGAGCGCACAGCAAGCAGTCACGAGGTTGGTACGCGYCAGTTGTTTCTTTATTTTCTCATAGTTGTTATAGTAGTGTACTGCCCACATTTTTACCTTTAGTTTTGACATAATCATAGCGTATCCTTTCAATRTGTAAAATAAACCGACGAAGAAGCACTTCAGATTGCAGTTTAGATCATATTGTTCCGTTTCAGCGAGTCCGTTAATCGATTACATATCGAAAGCAGACGATTACTAACAACTTCCTGCGATTTACGTTATCTCTGTTATCTCCTCTCGTTCGATTTGCAGTTTTGTACAATTAACAATCTTTAATGCGACATAAATCTCGCTTTTGTCATGTGCCGCGTCGTTTGCTCCGCAACGCTTAAAAAAAGACGATGAATGATTGAAAAGCACACTATGTTCAAACAATGATTTTAGTGTTATTACAATAACTTACAATAACTTAGCGTCTTAAAGTTTCAACTACGTATCACTGACATATAAATTTCAGTTCAAAAAAAGCAAATGAAAAATGTAAACGATTACCTTATAAAATAACTTTGTTAATAACTACCTGAACACATCAATCATCATCTCTCTTATAATGTTTTATAATACTTACTTCAAGATTATTGAGAAAGGCTTCTTTGGTAGTTTTTAATCAGTGAAAATATGGTAAATTTGTTTAAAAAAAAGGAATTTTGGTGGTTAATGTTATTGCGAACACATGCAGTTCAAAATTTTGCAGTCTCGAAAAAAAAATATGAAACATGTATTGAATAGTGATCCTTGTAGAATCTCGAAGTCTTAGGAGAATCAATCAAAACGAATGGTTGATGTTATCTTTGTAAAGCTATCATCTAAAGTGCAATTGGTAAGTAGTTTGCTGTCTTGTAAAAACACACCTTTTCTACTGACAGCTTCAATGTCGMGGAAATGAGTGTTCAGTAGGTACATCAACAGATTAAAAGCCACAAACACGTCCTAARACGATAGCGACCAAGAAACTAGTGATATAGGGCTGGGTTTAAGAACAGACAATCTCAGAATAAGTGCAGTTTTTGGGGGGTTTTGAAATGAATTATAGATTGCTGTTTTTGTCAGAATTGTTATGAGACATGACAGTATTTGCAAATCTTGTAAACTTAGGAACGTTGATCTCGGCATCATTTCCGTCATATGTTTTTAACAACATCTTGGATAAAAGCTCTACGAATGTCAGCCAATGGGTACTGGACTAATACAATAGATCTCTACGCCTACTTATCTTTGGACKACAAATACTAGATCTACACAAATTCTCCCCTCCGCTCCACTCCCCACACTACTAACTTAAGTAAACGCTGGCAGTGACGCCACTGCAAGGAAATCGACCACCTTTTGGTGGTGGTAAAGTTTTCTTAGTTATTTGACACTATATTAACAGTGCTTAATGATGTTTGGTTAACGTTCATTATCATCATATATTACACTTCCGAACTTTCAAACATGTCGATCCAAACGGATGCGTTCAATAACGCTTTTCCACGCAGGTGGGTGAAGTGAATTGTCTTATATATATATACTGTACTACATGATAGTCTCATTGCTCACATTGACTCATCATCATGAAGTACTTGATATTATGCAGCATCATGACTCTATTAGTTCTTACATCTATACCGTCATACCATGCATATGCCGCTGGTGGGGCCATCCTTCATAAAGGGAAAAAACGCGACTTTATACAGGTTGGTGAGAAAGACTTTTAGTTTTTGACTGACATTTATTTCTTGAGTGAAAACCCTTCTTGTATCAGTCTTAATTTGCCAAAAAAAGGAGAGTATGTGACTAATACCATTCTATCAAACGTTATATATTGCACGTTCATTTTTATTCTTTTGTTCGACATGTGCAATGTTGGGTCGTCCTACAGCCTTGTGGGATGATGTTGGGTCACCCTTGAAATTGGGCCAACATGAGTCGTTCTCTGCAGCAAGATTTCTTTAAGAGTTCCGGCAGATCTAAGTTCCTCGTTCCTTTTTTCCTTTCTTTGCTTTAAGGACTTTTTAGAAACTAAAAGACTTCATGCAATTCAAGTCAATATCAGTTATTGAGCGTTTTTTTTCTTTTGTAGTCAAAACGAGCAGCGGACGCATTTTGTACYATGGCGAAAAGACACTGTAAAAGAGAAATGGACATAGTACCGCCACTTCAATGAACGACTTATAAAAGTTACTTTTAAAGTGAACAAGTTGTAATATAAAACATGACAATAACCCGTATAAATCTATTTATGACAGTTAATAAACGTATTCCAAACATCTCAGCTTGTGTCCTGTGCTAATAAGAATTGCGCTAACYAAGAAATAACTCATTGTAACTGACAATAGAATGACGCTATCACTCAGAAAAGCAAATAAATTACTTACGCCAGTATATTTAAAAATCTATGGAAATATGGGCGTGTTTTTTTTTAATTTTGAAATTGGTTCTCAATTCAGTCGAAAAACGTCTTTTCTTTATTTTATTCTCAACCATTCACGAATCTGATTTATTTCACAAATTTGTAATGTATCACCTACTTTACGTCACTTAGTCTCTCCTCGCGGCMGTTGATTTGGTTCGTTCCCAGGTCTTTCCCAGCCAAATTACGGGTGCGAGAACAGAATACAGCTCACTGTCACTGACCAGTGTTGATGTCATATGATCAAAATCTGAGAGCACTACCTACACAATGATGTACCAGGGGGGGGGGGATGAGGTACTGATTTTGGTGTTTATATGATCGACAGTGTTGTGCTAGATTTCGCGTCGCACCAATCCGCAATGATCTCTTCACTGTAGAATCTCGAAGAATAAATTAGAAAATTTTTATCTACAGAAACCATGGCAAGATCACATCTTATTCAATTCATTGAATATAAAAACTTCAGCACAATTACATGCTGTGAAGTTGATCAAAGACCGCTAATAAAACACTGTTTAGTGTATTAAATACTGATTTTCATTTCTCCTTCTCCGTTCTCTCCAAAATGTGATTTCCGATCATTATTGCTGTTACTCCATTTCATTATTTTTAAGATTCAATTTAGTGTCATTGAGCTACAATACGCTGCCAAAATCGAACTCAATGAGAAAACATTTGTTACAAGTTCAGCATAAKTTCAATTCAAATATCTGTCGTAGCTAAAAACTAACAGAACCTGTTAAACCTGTCAACCCAGATATCATCTAAGGAGCCCAGGGACGACGATTTTTTTCGTCCGACAACAAGAACTTTCCTGRATTTCCAACTGTTAAGAGTACAACAGATATATCCATGTGTAMMTTCGATCTTATGTTATTTGGATATTGGGACAATTCTGAACAGGAATAAAAACCCTCAAAGCTCGCATCTCATAAGCTACTCCRTCTAAAAAAACTAGTGACAGTACTACTTTTTTATGTTAAATGATTTACACGCTGTATGTGTGTGTAGCCATTTTGATTCGCCTGTYAGCATCAYAACAATGTCATAGTTCTGTTCTGGATTTAATAAAACTACCGGTGAGCTCATKGTTTTATCCACGTAGATCGACTATAATAGTGAATTTTCGCATAGTGCGAAACGGACGGTACTGTACTGTAACCGTAATCGTACTGTAACCAAATTCTAGTGTCTCATTGGTTCATAAAAATTGTGCAGGCCAGGTCCGGTAACTGTGCGGTAACCGTGCGGTAACGGTGTGGTAACTGTGTCCCACTCATACGAAATCCGCCTCTAACTATCATATTCCTAAATTAGCCAAATATCATCTTTCGGAAACAAATATTGTTAAATCTTTTGATTTCGTTAATGTATTTTGATTTTGGATGTTTTATTTGAAGTAATTAATATTAGATTTACAATTCAACTGAAACCAATCACGATTCTTGGATGTAGCTGGGTCCATTTCTCTCCTTCGCTGCCAAAGAGTCATCTTTTCGTCTAGAGCGCCACAAGATTTCCTTCAAGATACCATCTCTCTATTCAATGGAAANTGTGTAGCCATTTTGATTCGCCTGTTAGCATCATAACAATGTCATAGTTCTGTTCTGGATTTAATAAAACTACCGGTGAGCTCATGGTTTTATCCACGTAGATCGACTATAATAGTGAATTTTCGCATAGTGCGAAACGGACGGTACTGTACTGTAACCGTAATCGTACTGTAACCAAATTCTAGTGTCTCATTGGTTCATAAAAATTGTGCAGGCCAGGTCCGGTAACTGTGCGGTAACCGTGCGGTAACGGTGTGGTAACTGTGTCCCACTCATACGAAATCCGCCTCTAACTATCATATTCCTAAATTAGCCAAATATCATCTTTCGGAAACAAATATTGTTAAATCTTTTGATTTCGTTAATGTATTTTGATTTTGGATGTTTTATTTGAAGTAATTAATATTAGATTTACAATTCAACTGAAACCAATCACGATTCTTGGATGTAGCTGGGTCCATTTCTCTCCTTCGCTGCCAAAGAGTCATCTTTTCGTCTAGAGCGCCACAAGATTTCCTTCAAGATACCATCTCTCTATTCAATGGAAAAGAAACAGGAATGAGTCAACAGAAATGCCTTCAMGAGCCAGTCACTTGTAAAGAGCATATTATCATTAAATTAATCGAATTTAGATTAGTATTTTTATGGTTAGCAACTCCTAACATCCTTAACCCACAGTGCTATCGAATTGAAAGTGTATAGTTAGTTTATAATGTATTTGTATTCAAGTGTTTCTTATATTACTGATGCTCTCATCAAATTCTGCCATCAGTCTCTGTGCTTCGTCTATAATGACATCGTCATACAAGCTTCTACTTCGTGCATACACGTAGGRGTACTTAACCATTATGTACTTATGATACACGTGATAACCCACTTTTGCATTCCCTTGATAATTATCACATGACCCCAATGCATCTTGGTTTCCGACAGAATTAATGATAAAAATTTCACTGGTTTGACCAACCATGTGGGATGGCTCAGTAAATTTCTCCTTGGGTGCCTTTCAGTTCACATTTTGCTGTGTGTGTTGGGATAAAATGAAGTTAAATTATAGTTCCTCTCTTTACTATTCTTTACTATTATCCCGACACACACATCCCTTTTTAGTTATTGTTCTTTTAGTTATTGTTCGGATGAGCAATTGCAAAGTCCTGTTTTTTCAAAAAAATATCAAAAAACAGGGTTCAAAGGTCATATTAGTCATTTCTATGGAAACCTTAAAGTAAGGTATGAGCAACGAATGTCTTATCGTACTAAACACCCACCAAGAATAGTTCATTGTTGCAGCTGGGGGTCACGTGACCACACCTACCTTAAATCAATCAGTTATCAAAAAATGACGTTAAGAAATGGACAGGGAGCAGGTTTATGTTTTTAAAATGGCAAAGTCGCAAGTCTCAACTMTAAATACTTCAAAAATGACAGCAAATATAAAATATTGATTTTTCTAAAGAAACGTATGGAAAAATAGAGCTTGCTGTCCAGTTCTGTTTTTGCATATAGTAAGGAAAGTAAGGAACATCTCAAACGATTTTATATTTGCTGTCATTTTTGAAGTATTTGGAGTTGAGAGTTGAAACTTTTTCTTCTTACTTATTTTGATCTTCTCTTTCTATTTCTGAACATCATTTTGTGATAGCCGATGGATTTAAGGTAGGTGTGGTCACGTGACCCCTAGCTGCAAAAGGCCTATTACGAGTAGCAACATATTCAACATATTCTCATTGATAACTTAAATGTAAATAAAGTATATATTGTTGTTGTTGCTGTTATTGTTGTTGCTGTTGCTATTGCAACTTTGAACTCCCAAAAAATTGACCTGTTAGAGCACACCCTCACATTTTCAGGCTCATATTTGACCATCCCCTCCAGAGTCAGGTCTTACTTTACCCGAATGATATATAGAACTAGAAAATCATCGCGAAATYATAAGGAACTCAAGATGTAAACATAACACTTTACAGGGTGGGGTAGGGTACGTTTTTTCTCGTTGAAAAGAGATTGAAGYTACAAGTCAAAAGTTTTAAACCAATAAAAAAACATTTGAAACAGTGATAGCAAACAATCAGTTTATTGGGAATGTAAACCAAGTCAAAAGGGCAGAAGGTCGATGTTCAGTTGTGCGGTGGGATGGGTTTATATAYTCAGTGAGAATACATATTCAGTTAATTCACCAGGTTGAAAAGCAGAGCTTCATTCAAGCAGTCGAAATGAAGCTGAGTTTTGATTTCTTTATTTTYCACGAATAAATTTCGATTTAWAACATTGAACTAATAAAACCCTTTAAGTCCAACAGATTCAAGAAACACKTTTCTATTTTAGTGAACTTGTCARAAAAATGCACTTTTATACTTCTAATTCGCAAATGGGACAGTCAAAACCCTAAACTCGATTGTTTAACTTTTTACTATGCATGGCATCTAACTATAAACGTTTTTAGTACCTTTTTATGTGTTCGTTGCTGTAAGGAATGGTTGGTTTATCTTACCTTGCCATCACATCCACTAGATGTATACATACACCTCATTTGTCCGCTGACATCACTTGCCGTCATCACCATAGTCCCTATCAGGAAAACTACCAACACAGCAAAATTCATTCTCGATTTGTCCAACCAAACAGTAATCCTAACTGAATTGCACTGTAGCGAAACAGAAYATTTATCCATGATGGTTTCCGCGGTAACAGAAACAGCTTCCTTCTGTGTGGCGTCAATACTTGCTGGCATCATTTGACTGGTTTGACTTCCAAACAAAATTTGGTGTTGATGAGAAAATGGTGCAATTAAAGTGGTTTCGTAAAGACATTCATCAATGTGTACATAGTGAACATTAACTATGAATAAACGTGGGTTAGTGTCAATGCTTTCACGTGGGCATCAATCGGGGATAATCAATTCACAGTTACTACCTACCGCTAATACTATCGAACATGTTTTTAGCTCGCTGTTTTTACACCATGTAAGTTGTTAAAACCATGCCTCGAGCATTGATATTTCATTACAAAAACATTGTCCAACAAAAMACTTTTGCTTTTGTTTGATGATAAGCGAGCGAGTTAAATAAATGGCAAATTTCTCTGTACAGTATTACTCTTTCGTTTTCTAGACATTTGAAAGATTATTAAGTTTGTTCTACTACATTACTCATACTTATCCAACGGAACATCTTCATCAGCATCAGCTTATTGTTAAATTATTTCCCTTTTTCTTCTTGACATATATGCAGTATTATTTACATTCATATATGTCTTTTCTAATACCTGATACATATAATACTCTTGTAAGGTATATATCATCTATAAAATCCTATATTTCTCCATTACGTGAAGTTGTCATTTTCACTAGTGAAAATAGCACATTCGATTCGTGGTGTAACTATATATCTGAGGTAAATAAAATATATTTTAAAACATAATTTGCTTTCATTGATAATTAAATTATAAACAAAATATTACATGGTCGCTTGAAGATACGAATTTTATCTTCTCGTGTTGAAAATCGCTACGCTCACTCGTGAGAGATCTTTTCATGTTTGCTAAATAGAAAGCTTACCAGTTGATTTATAACACTCAAGATCAACAATTAATGATAAATATAATATCGTTATTCAAATGCTTAACAAAATAAAATTTTATTATTATTGTTCATTAAGTATTTTAAAAAGTGTATTACATCACGCAATTCAGAATTGACATCGTTATTAGACAACGCGATTTTTGTTTTTTGTTTTTATTTATTGGAAAACAWCAAAGCGAGACTGATAAGGAACTCGCTACATATCTTCACACGTAGTGCATGTCTGGGAGTGAAGATTTCAACATGCATAGCTTTTCGGTGGCTCCTTCTGATGGCAATGTTATTCGGTTTCCTAAAATCTAATCCCTTGGCGGCCATACTGGCGAAACTTCGGCAGTAAATTTTTATTACATTATAGCAATAGAAACGATGATAATGATGATGACGATGATGATGACAGTTCAATATATATTGTTATGCAGATTATTATTATGAATGTAGTTAAAATGGATGTAAGGGTGAGCTGATTATGAATGCCTCCTTATTAATGGTTTGAAACTGACAAAGTCCGGCGTTCTATACTTATCACTCAAACAATGTCGTATAGTCGTTGTACCAACACAAGAGAAAATGAGATACTTCTCTCTTGACCAGCATGGTAGCATGTGTTATTTGTACTTTTTTAATTTTATTATTTGTACTTATTACAATTATTATCTTGGTCTTCTGTATGGTATTATCGTAAAAWTGTTTGGTCGTGAGTACCTGTTTGTTGAGAATAATAATCATTGCCACCAGTCGTATGGTGAATYCTTTACACCTTCAAAGGAATTAGAAGGACTTTTCTGGCAAAATTCCAATAGATTTGTTCCTTTACCTGCCTTATACAACCGTACGTTTGTAGACACGTGGTCTAACACAAGCAAAATGACCTAACTCTCTTCACTTGCAATACAGCTAAGATAAATGTGTTGCACTTCCCGAGACTTCTTCACATCTGAATGGTATCCTCGCTGAGAAAGACCATTTTATTCTAAGGTTAGTTTAATGATGATAGTATTTAGACCTCTTCATTTACTACGCGGCCAATATTCATTTGTCGTCAAGGGGGACAGGCTGTTAAATACTTTCAGACGTAAAAACTACATTATTATACTAAACTAATTCAAAAAACATCACTGTCTGACCTGATACTTTTACTGGCTGAAGCTAGCAACTAACTATTAATTTAGAACTCGGACTTGCAAAAATATTCACTTCGCAGTTAACTAAAAAAGTGAGCGTCCAGGTGTTCAGTTGATAACRCCTTATAGTTTCTAGACTACAATGAACTCCACTAATGAACTGATCATTGTTATTATTTTCACTCCGGCCAATTTGATCCATTTGAAAAAATTTTGATAAACACATTTTCTGTAAAAGAAGAATTTGCTTGTTGTGCGATCTTGACGCCATAAATAGAGAATTACGCAGGTTGGTCACAAGCAGCCAAGTTTACCGAACAACGCCCAAAATTATTGAATGCCTTYGCAAATATTTTTATCAGGGCAAAGTATTACTGAAGGGAACAAGATATTTCCACTTTTTACTTTAATTTAAAAGTTATCGTCGTGCTTAGCCTCATCTATTTTGCCATATTCGAATAAACTACAAGAACAGAAAATTAGAAAACTCAAGTAAAACAATGACAATGAAAACTACTATATTTCACTGTTATTATTATTATTCAAATTCCACTTAGTCGTTATAGACAAAATGAAGTATTTTTGTGAGTAATTTGCTGTTTTTTGGAGGCTCGCTCGGTAGAATAGCCGCATCAAACATTATTTGAAATTCTGAACCAATAATGAATACTTTTTCAGTTTTTATCGAAGACATAGAAGATATTACATGGGCGCGCGGAGATACGGAGTGTTGAAAAGATCTCTCAGTGTGAGCGTAGCGATTTTCAACACGAGAAGATAAAATTCGTATCTCCAAGCGACCATGTAATATTCTGTTTATCATATAATTACATATGAAAGCAAATTATGTCGTAAAATATATTTTTTTCCAACTTTTACTATATAGAGAAACCTCGATTGTGTTATTTTCACTAGTGAAAGTATCAATTTTACGAAATGGAGAAATATAGATATTTCATAGATAATTATATGATAAAAAGAGTTTATACAGCACATTGCATGTCTATATATCCATTCGTCGAATTCTCATTTTCAGAGAGTCTCTTTACATAGGTTCGAACATGGTCTTGAGGTGCTCCTCGGCTAGACCAAACAAACAGCCGAGGAGGTCCATTGTATTTATCGCTGTTCGGGTTGTGAAGGCATCGTGTTTGTAAGGATTACCGCTGTACGCAGTGCTGTTCAGGTTGTGAAGGCATCGTGTTTGTAAGGATTACCGCTGTACGCAGTGCTGTTCAGGTTGTGAAGGTATCGTGTTTGTAAGGATTACTGCTGTACGCAGTGCTCGAGATTTTTTAAAGTTATAAATGAAAATAAGCTAAAGTAAGAAATGATAGCGCAATTGTTTTTTTTTTAATTTTCTTTTTAATTATTTAAAAATGGTCTGAAAATCAACGATATAAATAAGAAAGAGTTACTTTTAGAAAGCGACAATATAAATTTTTAAAATAASTATTTTACATTTCACACGAGCTCGGTAGAAAGTTTGGCTGTTTTGAGTGCTATTTTTAGCAATAAGCAGTTGTCACGCAAACGCCCAGTATGTGGCATATWTTGTTTACCAATTTTCTTGCGAAAAATGTAATATTTTCAAAAATTACACAGYGATTGTTAGCGAATACCTTACCTATRTTCAAAATATGAATAGATTTGMTTTTTCGAGCCTTGCCAAGATATGTGTGATTTTTGTTTTGCGAAGAAGCTCTTAAATAATTTGCATGATGGTGCCTCTGTAGTTTTATTGTTTGTTGAATCAAAACAATATAASAAAAAAGTTGATATATCGAAAAATCGACGATCTCTTATCTCATGGAATACAATATACAATTTGTAGTCCACTGTCTTCTACTTTAGACTAGAAAAATAAAAGAAAATGCGAAGATAATTAAATATCAGAATTAATAGTTGGGATGCCTGTTGCGAGGAATGTGCGAATGAAATACCCTCCTGAAGATTGAGCCTAAAACCTTCAACAATTTTACAATGCTATATGTAATTTCTAATAGTCCAAATAAAGGATATGAACGCTTTATTTATATTACTTTATTCTATATTTTGGCCTCGTCGCCATGGCTCCAACACAGGAATCCCAACAGAAGTTRCGAGTTTGGTGGCCACACAAATCGTCTATAAATCAAGGAACGATTGGGAGCTTGATCACTTCACTTCACTTGAATTTCAAGTGCGGGGGATCATCAGTCAAGAATACAAAATACAGCTTACAGTTAACTTTTATTAAAATACATTGATTTAGGGTAATTTTCAAATTGAAACTCGCCGGCACTGGTATACAAACAGCATATTGGGATAAATTCAGTTAATAACAGGACKAGTAGGAATGAAACAATATTTGTTAGCTCCTTGTGTTACGGAACACGTGTTCATTAGACCTAGATCACATGTCAACAAGAGACCTATCACGTGGACAGTCCGCTCGTTGTACGGAGTCTGATTGGTTCGATTGTCACGTGRAYAGATGTCTTTTCTACAACCTGACAGAGAGTCGTTCTCTTTCGATAACCTCGTTTGGTGGGTTGGTTGCTGTYGCMATGTCCGTACTTGAGCGGTCTTTGGGACAGCGAGTATTTCTGGTAGGAGAGCGAAGTTGACTGGATTTGACGATGGGCTTCAAATGAAGTGAATATTTTTCAAAGGTTGCTTGGATTGGACGGTAAGAGCGCCTACAGTCTTATTTCAATCGATAGGACAATCTTACCGAATCAGATTGGAACTCTCTGTGGACACTTTGYACAGTTCTATTACACGACACCGATTTGCTATAGTCAAGAAACTTAATTGTTATCAGCCAGCCTCAGTTTTGATTTCTTCGGATCAGTTTTGAAGAATATTCCAATATTTGTTTAAGGTGCGAATCCCTAAGTGTAGACGAACCTTTCAAGGTGGCAAAGAATTAAGTTATTATTATTATTTTTTTTTTTTATTTTGTTCAAAATGATTGTATTGAATTAAGTTATGTGAATGTAGATGTAGTGTTTACCGGCTGTTTACAAACGACAAATTCAAATTAACATTTTAATCGTTGCATGACTGTGCAAAAAATGCTTCTATTTTTAGCCGAACTCTGTGCATCAATGCACAACAGTATTTGCTTTTGTGCATAAATTATTTTCGATTTTGATAAATGTGGTGGACTTTCTTATTACATAAGACTCAATATAAAGCTTATTTCTACAATAAGTAAGAATAAGAGAATATGTTTGCGCATGACCGGAAATCTAGTGCGCGATTTTTAAGGCCCTTTAAGTGGTACGGAATACTGAACACTGGTAGTGAACTTCCTCTAAATAAGGCATTTATGGGTCATTTAGTGCTCTAAATAAGGCATTTATGGGTCATTTAGTGCTTAGATCAAGTGTTTTTGTTGCGAAAATGACTCACAATGATCATTCTTCCGTGGAAATTTGAAAAAAAATTGTCTATAATAAGGTGGTCGTAGTTGTTTTTTTTAATTTTTGCTGTAAGTAAGAGTTAGTTATCGAGAACGGAGGCATTACGCTATATACAGCCCGGGCCGACGTGCGAGGTAACTAACAAATTTAGTTTTCAATTTACATGGTTTTTGCAAAAACTAAATAGACTAAATGAATGTTTTCTTAGTTGGGATTCAAACAATAGAATCCTCTCCTCTTGAGACTTTTTCACATCCGAGAAAATATTTGGCTCAAGGTTATGCCGTACGGAACGACCAAGAGCCAAATATTTTCCCGTACGCCCCGACCTAACTCAGTCTATAAGCGTTTTATCACATGACAGCGTTTTTTAGCCATTTCTTTGATGAAAAGATGTGTGACAAAAAATTAAGGCATACAGAACTTTACGGCCCTGTTGCGAAAAGGCGTACGGCCCCCATCACATGACCATTTCCCAACGTTTTTTTCAGAGTTGAAACGCTTGATGAAGAGGGCGTGCCGCAAGTTTGCCAAGTTGAGAACACAAACTATGAAAAATGCTAATTCTAGATTATCAACAATGATGCCGATGGAAACTTTCGGTGACAATTCATTATGGATATATTTGTTTGTTTTGATCATAGAAGGGAAGCAAAACACTCAGATAACTTGCTAGTTTTGCTTCCCATCAAAACGCTAGTTTGCTCCTTGTAGATTATCAGCACTATCGAAACTCAAATTTCCGATGGCAAACAATGCGAATATTTTTTGTGACTTACATAAACATCCCCTGCAAACTACTTGAAGAAGTCGTTTGTGGGGGCTAAATCATTAATTTGTGATAACACACTTAGATCGGTGTGAAGTCGCCATGTTTAAAAAAATTGGAAAACAGTGTATATCAACACTATAGCAACAATAGCAAGCTAAACTTATCCATAACAATAATCTTGAATAAAAGCTTAATGATTTTACAGCATATTTATTGCACTTTTTTGTTTCAGGACTTTACATTTAGCTAATAAAATTGAAAAGACTTCAATTGGTGCAGAATGTCTCAATACATATCAGATGAATATGAAGTGATTGTCATAGGTTTGTATCAACATTTCTCCTATTTTTTAGTATTTCACTAAGATCAGGATAAATTGTCTGTTATTGAATTATCATTATTTTCAAATGTTACGTGTTAGTATCCACCAAACTATCACAAATCCAGTATTCTGATTGGCTACTGGATTGTGGTATATTCATGTTATACCATGGTCTCATCAAATAGAGCAAAAAATAATAATCCAAAAATTGTTGATAAAATAAGTTGTTTATGGTTTTTGTCTATTTTTTCCCCTTTTTTTGTCAATAGTTTGATGGATATAAATACATACGATAAGCTCTCCATGCTTGTTTATCCTTATGTCAGTGTTTTGTATTTATTAGGAAATGGYCCAAATGGTTTGGCATTGTCTTACATGCTAGCTGGTAATTGGCCATACTATATGTTACATCAACACCCTAACCCTATTCTGAACMTCAAACTTTGTGAGGAGCCTGGAAAATCATTAGTTGAACAGGTAAAATAATGGCTTGTGAATAACTCCCTTGTATCAACTGTGCAGAGCTTATCAACAGCTGTTAACCCTTTCACACCTGGGATGTTTCAGAAAAAAATTTTGAAGATAAAAGATATCAAAAATAAATTAAATATCTTTTTAATTTGCATTCATTTCTTTTCAATATTCTATATACCTACACTGTATAATGAAAGTCGTTTTCGTATGAGTGGGAAACGGTGATGACGAATCGCGTCCGTACCGTAACTGTACCGTGCAAAAAAACACGGTCCTTTCGTGCTATGACCGTACCGTGCCATAGTGGTGATGTATTGTTAAATCTAAATTTTTATTTGGAATCCTAGAAGGCGAGGTTCCATGACCGTACCGTGCCGTGTCCGTGTTGTGATCCGTGCCGTTGCACAGTCATACAAAATTCGCTCTATTGTATTCATGGATTCTGATTTGTTGGCATTTTTTCTGCTAACATCTGATTGGATTGATTTGTATGTACCGTAGTTTGCCGAAAACATTAATTTCGATTGTTGATTGGATGAAGCCTTGTCGTATCGCGCTTTACAGTACCGTAAGCTGTACCGTAAGTTCGATTGTTGATTGGGTAAATACGGTGCTCGTGTGATACCGTACTTTAGCCGTATCGTAAGCGTGATTYCTGATTGGCTGAGAGACTTTCWAYTGACAACTGGTCTACRTCATCTTGTCACACAACACTAGTTGCTGAATTCTCGCCACCTGTTTTTGCKAAGTT